ATAAATTGCTAATAATTATTGATTATGGTCTCCTCTACCTGCTCTGGTTTGTACAGCAATTTGGTCAACATGAGTTGTTTTTAAATGTGCTTTACACATAAATGTGATTTGATCTGATTTGATGAATAGTTGAAATAGCTCAAAAAAATGGACAACAGTTAAAACTGTTCGCATTAAGTAATGTTTTGTATGGTTGAAACAGCTAAAAAGAACAGTCGAAACAGTTATAATAGTTGAAAGCTAAAAGAAATACATAAATGGTGGAAACATCCAGCTTCTGCCACTCAAAGTGGTAGTATTATGAATGCAAACATTCAGTTTCAATTTTATAATAAACAATTCACTATCATATCTACTTTTATAGCATTAATAGTTAAATAATATCAAATCTAAAACCACTACAAGCACTTCCTATCAGGCCAACACCAACTTCTCCCTGTAAAAACTCTATTGTTTGATGTTTAATTTTATAAATTATATCTAATATTACGAAAACCTGTATGAATACAAAGCAACTGTAACCTGTATTAAAAAAACAAACAAAATATAAATGGATTAGATTGACGCAGGGCCTATTCAGAGCATGCGGTGCAGCCCAGAGCAGCGCGGTCTAAAGACAGTGATGATGTCAACAGCAATTGATCCACACCTCATAGCGCTCTGCATTTCAAAGGCTGGTCAGCATCTGAGGACCACTGTTAGGGGAGCTGACCTTTCAGCTCAGCCAGGCTTGAAGCTGCCATCAGGTAATCCTTCAAATAGCTCTTACGTGCCCTCTCACATTTGAAAAGGTGGCAGGAGTCATGGACCTTGGGGGTTTGCTTGTGATGTGGGCCAGAAGGAACAGGACAGTGCTCCATTTTATCAGGAGAGGCTGTTCAAAGAAAACCCCAGTTATAACACACTGTACTCAGTGAGATACCATCTGAGCATGTGTGTGTTGATGTCATATTTTGCATAGTGACACTGAAAGGACTTTTTTAAGCCAAGTGCTCAAACACTGTATAATACAGTACTATAGGGTTCCTTAGCTTCATCTGATTAAATCCATTTCCCTCGTGTATCTGAAATGAGCAGCAGGCTGTCATTACTGCCTGGTTTTACTTCTCCACAGATAAATGTAGTTGCGGGATGTCATTTTATGTGCAGCCCATTGTAACACCTCTCCATTGCTCTTGCTCCATTTGTGTAACCAGGCAACAGCAATTTGAAAGCTTGTCTCTTCAGAGACGCAATCACCATAACTCTGAGAGCACTCCAGACAACTTGATGAAGCCAATGATCTTTGCTTGATTGATCCAACTACAACCTACTCAATCACCGCTGTCCTTTTTTCTTTTAAAAACACTATACATCTTGCAGACAGTAAAATGTAATTTGACACAAAAACCGACACATACAGAGCAGCCATTGCAACCATTGCAGAAGAAATTATGATACAAGCAACCATCAAATACTTTCTTCAACATTTTCACCGCACAAAGCAAAAAAAAAAAAAGCTTTGAAACATAGAATAATATGTAAAACAACACTAATAAATGCAGCTGTGTTAAGAAAACCAATTTCACTTTTTAGATGTAAATCTTCCCACTCCTTTTCTATTGAGGCCTGCCCAGACTTGATGGAGATTTGCAGCAAAATTCCAGGAAAAGTGTTTTGGAAAAACAAAGACTGGGGAAACAACAACAGTGTGATCTCATAAAAGGTGCAGTTTTTTGTTCTGCCTTTAAGGCGTATTATTGTATTGTTTCTCAGTAACAGGACCACAGAAAGGTATGAGTCAAACTTGAAAAAATACTTCAGTGTTACACAAACATAGACCAGAAGCACCTGCAGCAGGCAGCACTCCACCATGTCAAACTCAACACCAGGGCCAAGGTAGGCGAGCACAGACTTACCGAAAGACTGCAAACAGGCCTGGATCAGCTCCTCCCAGCTCGCCCCCTTGGTGAGGTGTCCCAGGGGCATCATGGATTTACCTGGGGTGGTTTGGGCCGGGCTGGGTTTGTGAAACCTGTGTGGACGGCCTGGAGGAGAAACTCTAGACCTGGAGCTGCATCCTGGAGTCACCCTCCTTGAGAAACACCAACACAAGAAGTGTGAGTGGGGGAGGAGGAGGGGCAGGAGGGCTTGCTGTAATGAAAGTGTGCGTTTCTCTATTTGCATATGAGGATGTAGAGTATGTGCGTGTACATGCGTTTCAAACCATAACCTTATGAAACCACCGCAGATTATCACACATGAAACGATTCGCGTAACTGTCACACAAAAAAATTAGAGCCATTGTTAAGAAACCCCCCCCGAGATTTTGCTCTTCATTGTTCTCATTTCCTTCCTTTAACTTGGGGAAATACCGGTTGATTGCGGACATCCAGTTTAAACTGTTGAGTGACCGGTAAACAAGGTGGAATTTGTCCGAAACATGTGCGGTTTGAGCGCAACAGGTCAGAAAGTATAGCGCAAAAAAAAAATCACATTAGAGAACATAGCGCGCGTTTGTGCGCAAAACACTTAAGCAGCATCAAATACAGTTTTACGCACCCTTATGGCACACATTAGGACACGCCTGTTTATATACCACCAAGAACAGCCAGTAACACAACTCTCAACTAATCAACTGTTAAACAATTGCGCACATTTTTAGCCAAAACCACACCGGACACTCTTCTGTAAAAAAAAAAAAAAACCCATAAAAAGGTGATCTGACTTACGCGTCGTCCTTTCCCTTTTCGTCCGACGCAACGCTTTCGTTTTGGTTGTTTTCTTTTGATTGACATCCCATGGCGAGGTACTGGGCGACGAGCGGCTGAACTAGGCTGTCCATCTGTGTTCTCCTCGATGGGAGCATTTCATCGCTCTGCTCGGCTAAGTGCGCCTCCACGGTCTCAGCAGCATTGTGCTGACTCGTCAATGAACATTACACAATTAAGAGTCACCCAGCTTGTCTGCGAGTGGGCGGCCGTGGTGCCGGGCTTGTCACTCACACAGATAGTGGGCTCTCTCTCTCTCTCTCTCTCTCTCTCTCTCTCTCTCTCTGTGCTTCGGCAGCAGTCGTTGCTACTTGGGTGTGAGAGAGTGAGTGAGTGAGTGGGAGCTCTTACAGGTTTATGCTCTACAACTCTAATCAAATAATTGGTTTGGGGAAGAGGCAACAGAAATGAGAAGCTTAGTACGTTTTACTGCCATCTCACTCACTGTTATAAGGATTGCTGATTTGGTCAGAGATTTCAGCCTCCACCTACACGTTTCTGCTGTCCCATGTCAAAGCCTTTAGTGCCATTGGATGCACACAGATGCCATTGTCTCCATGTCCTTGACATGAATATGTTGGAAACTGTGGGATGCCATCCCTCTTCTAGATTGCTAAAAAAACTTTTTGTTTGTTCAGTCTGCAGAACAGGAAAAGGGTGGACCTTCCTCTAAAGATAACAGCTCCATTATGGCTTATATTGGGGGGGGGGGTAAAGTGTAGCATACTGTAGGTGGTCTAGAGAGGATGTTTCCTGAAGTCTTTCCAGCCGCTCTGAGGACCAAGCATCGTACCTGGGGCGACAGAGCGTTCTCCATAGCTGCCCCCTCCTCTGGAACTCTTTCCCTAACACACATCTCAGACTGTACTGATCCATCCAACTTCAAATCACTTATCCAAACCCACCTCTTCAGAACTGCTTTTAATGTTTGATTAATTGTTGAGTGTTGTAGATATATGTATATTTTTAGTGTGTTGTACCTATTTTTCAACTTATGTGAAGTGTCTTTGAGTTCCTTGGAAAGCACTCTATAAATAAAATGTTTTATTATTATTAAGTTCCCTGAGTCTGATCACTCAGTGGTGGAGAAGAGCTCTGTGATAAGGGATTCATATGTGGACCGATTAGTTAATATTTGATTGCTAAAGTGACACCCAAGTGCCATACAAACATTGATTTTAATTGTGATAATATGTGTATATTCTTCATTCTATGGCTTAAAAACTACATTTGATGTGTTTAGACATCTTTCCTCAATGAGCTGCATAAGTATGCAGTATGCTGTAATAGAAAGCAAGGTCTTACATATGATATAAGTGCAGATTAAATTTAACACAGCTTTTCTTTGACCATGAAACATCCAATTTAAGTAAAAAGGGAATGCTGTTAAATTAGCTCTGGAGCTCTGCTTTTGCCCTTTTCACTTGACTTTAACTGAGTACGAGCTCAGGAGGAGCAATACGCACCGTGGGACAAATGATATAAGCTGCATACAGTTTGTGATTAAGTCTGAGACAGCTCTGTGCCTCCTGCACCCCCAGAGCACCCTCCCTTTGATTAGGTGCTGTCCACTGATGAACAGTAGTTGGAGTTTGTGTTTCCACAGGCAGAGTAAAGTCATGAGAACCTGTGTATGAGCAGCTGCTACTTCTGATAAGATAGCTTGTCTGTACCCTTTCTGTGCCACTGCTGTTATCAGACCAGTCAGCGATGCCTTAAGCTTGCCCCTGTGTCGCTAAAGACACATCTATAAATCTGATCTGGTTTCATTGAGGACATTACTGAGCCCAGTGCGGCTGACAGAAATGCACTGCTTAAATAATAAATAAAGATGCTGCATATTTTGCAGGACTTTTCAGGGAATGACTGAAGGTTTGTGTTACTTGTGACCATTGCCTCATTGTGAGTCTCCACCCAACCTTGGACCAATAACAAACTCTAATGATAAGGAAAAATGAAAGGTGGATTTTAGATATGTACTGCTGCTACAGGAGTGACATGATTCAACTTATCATGTTATTCTCATTCCACAGCACTTTTTGTGGCATGATACATTTGGGTGGGTCATATTTCTATATCTGCTTATGATTATGCACTCTGGATGACCTCATGAGAAGAATGTTTCCTTATTAATATCTGAATAAATGCGAGATAATTAAAAGAAAGAAAAGTTAGGGGTTCGATGGAAGAAATCACACGTCTTCATGCCACTATTGATCTTTATTTGAATGTTGTATTGTGAAGATAACAGGTGAGATGTGTTTCCTCTGCATACCTGAATGCAGTATCTTTGAAAGATTATTAGGAACCAGTTCAGGCATTGGCTCTATGGTCAGATGCAAAACATGCAGCATGGCCAATCAGTTCTCAGTTAGTCACTGCAGCAGCTGGCAGCACGGTGACTTGTGTCTTTAGGGTATAAGTAAAAAGGGCAGTGAACGATCTCTTGATAAATGATCATCAAGATCTAATTAAACTATATTCAAATTTTGTGTACCTCTCTAAGGATGCACTGATGGCCAACACAGGGCACTGACACTGTACACAGACAAATTAAATGTGTATGCTCATATGCATACACTCTGTAAGGATGGAAATGTATGGCTGCTTTTATATAAAAGTGCCATTATCAGATTGAAAATCGTCACATGTCTAAGGAACACACTCAAGTGGGACTAACCATTGACAGTAGCCTATTTATAGGGACTAACAGCAATTAGCTCAATATTGGGTTGTGAACTCCCCCTGGTGGATATTTGGAGTTATGTACAGATTACCTCATTTGAAGACAGTGTTTACTGTACGAGCTGTGCCTGTTCCTGCTGTTGGTCCGCAAAGACCACACACCACACTAGATAGGAAAAGTAGGACTTGAAGCAGCATTAACCTTCTGTAAAACAAAAATGTCTGTAAACTTTGTTTTGTATTTGTTTACCCAATGACAGCTGTAGATGACCACCAAGTGTAATTTTACCGCATACATTGCCGCCTGCCACAGTTTGTTTTTTATTTCACTGGGGGCCCACCAAAGTTGGAAATGTTAAAATAATGTAGTCAGACATAGTAGCTTTTACACACAATGATTAAACTCATGTGCATTTTGCGTGGTGGAAAATATGTAATAATATATATTATGTTCTATTATAATATCATATCATAAAATCCAGCCTTTACAGTTTTATTTGGCTAATTCTGATGAGAGATAGGCAGGGACCAGGAAGTCGAAGTTGAAATTAACAGGGTGCTTTTGAACGCAACGCTGATTTGCCCCTCACGGTACGGCGCTCGCGCTCTGACAATTAGCCTAGCTAGCCTAGCAAGTAATTGCTGTGGCTAACAGAAAAGCGTTGACAGGCTGATATCTGTAAGCTAGCAGCTTCGTTGTCGTCAAAAATGTTTGTGGAAGACGTCCAGTTCCTGAATGTCCTCAAGGGAAAACGTATCAAACTGACCCTTAAGACTTCATCTTACCTCGGCGTCGTCCAACGTATCAACCCCAACAAAACCTTGATCTTGGCAGACGGTTAGACAAATGTTCACCGTGTATCTTCTTGGGAGTTAACTTGGAAGTTCATTGGTTTTGTCAGAAGGCAGTGTGCTGCCTGGAGGCCACATACAATTCACCGTCCAGTAACAAATAACTTGTGTGTATTGTTTCAGTTGTTAGTGGCAGTAATGGCTGTAAATATCCTGGTTCAAAACTGTTCTACGGCCACGATATTCTGAATGGTGAGTTCACTCATGGACTACTTTTACCTTTTCACTAAATTTCATGAAAGTTTTTTATGTCTGACATGATGTATAATTTAATTAACAGTGGAATTTACCAATGAGGAAAAGGCTGACAGTGGGTAAGTAATCAATCACTATTGGTGACTCTGACTTGGCCTTTAACTCTAACATGCAGTGTGTGTTGCACAGAAATATTCATGACCACAGACTTGAAGAGCACTTGAATGTGAAAAAATTTCAGCCATACAGGAAGACACTCACATTGGGTAAGCGTTATAAAGGCATCCAATTCTCTTATCCTCAAATTCATGTCTTCAAAGCCATTAATCACTATTGAGAGGGTTGTTTTAGCAGATCATGAGGAAGATGACGAGGAGTATATCAACTTTGTGGTCATTGATGAGTTTCATGAGAAGTTTGGACCTGCTGTAAGTTGATTTCAGGTTCCTTTCTTTTGCATAAGTCACTTAAAGGTCCAGTGTGTAACATTTAGGAGGATCTATCGTCAGAAATTTAATATAGGTATATTTTCATTAGTGTACAATCACCTGAAAATAAGGATTGTTTTGTTTTCGTTACCTTAGAATGAGTCGTTTTTATCTACCGAAGGAGTGGGTCCTCTTCCATGGAGTCTGCCATGTTGAACCACCATGTTTCTGCAGTAGCCCAGAACAGACAAACTAAACACTGGATTTAGATAGAGCCTTTTGCGTTTTCAGCAAGTTTTGGCCATCGTACTTTCTCCTACAAGCCTGGAAAGCGAGTGGTATTCAGTTGGTTGCAGTCTGCAACTTCACCACTAAATGCCACTAATCCTACACACTGGACTTTTAAATGCTCATCATATATTTTACACTCCAAATTATGTGGACAGACTATAATGATGGAAACATGTTTTTACTGTGACCTCTTGTCTTAAAATCTCTTTATAACATTCTGATCTCCATCCTTCAGGTGATGCACATCAAGAAGCAGCATGTGATTGGCGTGGGAGCTGATGGAGTTGAGGTGTTTAAGCATGGGAGACTGTGTTGGCTGCAGGTGAGAAGTTCTGAAATCTGGCCTTCACTCCTTTCTTCTTTCTTTTATTTTTGAATCGCAAAAGTGAAAACATTAATAAAATAACGTGAACTGGTCTTCATTCATCTAGATTGCCACTAAAAACAAGGTATACCTATTTGATATCCTGTTGCTTGGAGCCCGGGCTTTTAAGAATGGTCTTTCCATGATCCTGGAAAATAAGCACATACTAAAGGTGAGCAGTTTAAACAGAGACATTCTGTAAAGTGAAGTTTATTACCATTATACCTATGTTAATTGTACATTTGGTACAGGTCATTCATGACTGCAGAGCCATTTCTGGGTGTTTGATTGCTCAGTTTGGAGTGAAGCTAACCAACGTCTTTGACACACAGGTACATGTACAGTACAAACAGAGGCCCACTTTAGAACATCACTCAATAATGCCGATTTTCCCTTTCCTGTTTCTCTCCTGTTTGTTTAGTTTACCTTATTTATTTCCTGCTTTTTCTCTCTGCATGTGTTCAGGTGGCAGATGTCATGTGCTTCTACTCGGAGACAGGAGGTTTCCTTCCCGACAGAGTCAGCACTCTGCAGGAGGTGGTGAGTCTCCATCTCAAGGTGCCCTCCTCCCAGCTCTTATCCCTTCAGATGAAGTCACAGCTCACCAAGGTACAGTACACAGTCAGCTGTTAGCTGTCTAGTTGTATCTGTTTGTGTGCTGTAATCATTGCTGTGTGTTTTTACAGGAAGAAAGGGAGATGTGGCAGAAGCGGCCCTGTCCTGTACCCCTACTTAAGGTGATGGCTCTGTCAGTGATCCACCTTCAGCCCCTCAGGCTGGTGCTGCTGGATACTCTTATGACGGACTACGTGGCCGTGGTGGATTCATACCTCAGCAGCACCCACTACGAACCTGATGAACTGGAACATGTCAACATGGTGAGGAAATCACAAAGAAGCACTTGTTTTTTTATCTTTATTTCCTCACAATGACACCAACATGCACCAGGGTGTTACCACCATAAGAATGCAAATTTTGGCACAATTTGTCTTAGATGGATAAATGATTTTGGCATTAAAAATCTCTTCCATTTTGAATTCTTCTTTTACTGAAACTGTGAGTCTTTTATTTTTATACCAGTCTTCTTAAAGACATTTTTCCCTTTTAATTTTTGCACCACTGTTAACAGGTTAGAGCAGCCACACTACCCGCATGAGCTGTGCATCTCTCTTGTGCATCTCGGCCGCAGCTGCATTGACATTTCTCTAGAGAGCAGAGATCTCGCCTATTTTGCGTTGTTCCCAGCATAAATAGACCGTGAAAAGGGTCAGTTCATTGTCATATCGACATTATACCACCAACATACACATTTCACTACAGTTTCAATGTCTATATTTGTAGAACATGTCACATACATGAACAAAAGTATATGTACACCTCCTGTATTTTTTAGATTTGAAGCTCTCTGGCATTTCTGTTGACAGAATCCATTCATATGTTTTACTGTATAGTATTTATCAAAGGCAAACTGACTATAGAAAGATAAGGCTGGCTGCAGCAGAAACACTTTCTGTGTGGTCACCTCAGGCATGCGAGGTGCAGAAGTTCAGCGAGGCAGCCGTCACACACTGCTGAGGCAACCTGAGGACCAACTGTTACAAACTGTTGGTTTAGCCCTAATCAGGTGAACCAAACTGGGTATTTTTGTAGACTGCGTTCACAATTGTGTGTTTTGGGTCTTTATACAGGATTATTCAAGTGAATTTAAACAGCTTTTTGGTATATTTCTTTCATGAAAAAAATGCTCAAAAAGCTCACTAAACAGATGGATTCACTTCCTAAAACAATACTCACATGACAATTTACGTACTACATTGAGACAGTTTGTTGTCACTGTAATTGTGCTTCTGGTCCATCCTGTCTGTGCCTTCCTAACATCATTGCAGTGTACGTAATGGGAGACAAAAGCCACAGTATTCAGTCTGTGTAAAAATACATTCTAAACAAACAGTCTGCCTGTTCTTCAGGAGAGTGTGTTGGACTTGCCCAGAGAGCTCAAGCAGCTGGAGCAAATGCGTCATGATCGGCAGGAGTGGGCTGCCGAGCACTACCCTGTCACAGAGCAAGGTCTGCTGGCTCGCTTCAATCCCCAAAGCCAGTCTCCACCCCAGACTTCAACTGCAGCACAGGAACATTGCCAGACACAGGCAGATTCCTCAGAACCTGCACCTGCCTCAACACAAGTAGACCTTCCCCCTCACAAGCCACCTATGGGGCCTCCAAGAGACACCATTGTCTCATCTGTGGATGTCCAAGCCTCTCCTGACCCAGCAGCCCAGGCTCAAGTTACAGCCGTTGTGTCAGACCTCAGGGCAGAAATGTCAGTTAGCAGTCCCCCGTCTGTAGGTGTGGGAAGAGGGCGCACAGAGGCACCGATTTGCACAATGGGTAGAGGAAGGTCCTTTGGGAAAGAGCAGTCATCTGTCCTGGCCTTACCTTCTACAGGAAGAGGCTTTCTTCTCCAGATAACACAAGCTCAGATCCCCAGAGAGAGCACGCCTGGTAGGATGGAGACGGCTCCTTCGTGCTCCAACCATCCACTTTCCCAGGCAGTGATGCCCCAGCCCCAGCCCCAGCCTGGCCCCAGTGCTGATGACCTGCCAAAGGACACTTCAGGCCTGAGAGGAGACAATTTTACACCCACAACCCAGTCCCCCTTCGCTTCCCTCAGGCAGTCATTTAGTTCTTTCAGATATTAAAGGAAGTGTTACAAAGCCATATAAGGTCATGTCTTCCAAATGTTTGCTGTTCCATTCTTTGTGATTTCCTAGTGTGACCAGTAGATGGCAGTAAATATTCTGTTATGTGCTAAGGTTTGTTTGATACCAGGTCTTTTATGTTGGGGAGATAAAAGAAGAGAAAAAATATTTTGTATTTTGGACATTTCATGCCAGTTTAGTTAAATATATTTGTGATAAAACGTATGCCTGTCTCTTCCTTCATTTGTATTTTATTTCATTAGCATTTTTTGCACCCTCTAGATCATTTTTAGTTTTGTTTTGATTGAGTGGCAATTGACTGCACTCTTACCAGTAACATCTAGATCATCTGTGTGATAGATGAGTGCATTAATTGCTATTGCAGTTAATATAAGTGATTATTTTTATCATGCAGAATGTGTTCTGATTATGCGTTCAATGCCTCAAAGGGCCAATAAATATTATCGTTGGATGCTGGAAAACAAACTATAACCAAAAACAGCTGCACATGCTCATTAAATCATAATGTGCTAAGCTTAGTGTGATTCATTGCCGGTACAGCTTGGCTTCTGTGTTGCAGTTAATTGATTGTGAAAAGCAGAGACGGGCATTGATGGATCTGCCGTTAATTGAGCAAAAACATTGCTAGCTGACACTTCTTTTGATTACTGATGACTAAAAAAAAAAAAGAAAAACCCATTAGACTTGGCACATGCTGAACAGCAATATTGACTCTCTGCAGCTTCAGTCAGCGCTGCAGTTCATATGTGCATGATCACAGGTGGCCGACACCTGCCATGTTCTATAAAAGTAGATCTTATCCATCTAATTTACTGCTTGAGGTGCCATGCAGACTTTGCAGAGAGGCAGCCATTTTTGCCTGGCTCATCAGAGGTTGGTGCCTGGGATCAAAACAAGGCATGCACACAACAGCAGGTCATTGCCGCAACCCGCAGTGCAAATGGGCCCCCCGTATTAATCACATCTTATTGCTATGGTTATCTACATGCAGATGCTTGGGCCCTTTCCAGAGCTTTCTAATTGAAAGCATGAAACAGATAAAGTAGGATTTTAATTAACTGGGAGGTAGCCCGGCACAAAGCCTTGCATCTCTCTTAGCAACCAGCTCCTCCTCAGCTTCTGCTAAACACAAGCAGGGTGGATCCTACCCATATGCCTCCATTAACCCTTTGAAATGCGGTTGTTGCTCAATCTGTATGTGGGTGGGTTCAGCAGGGAACAAAAGGTTTAACGCATCTCAAAGCTGATTCGCTTGATGTTATCTTTGAGATGCTGCACTCAGATCTTCCAAAAGTAAATTTCCTGTTCCACAACCATCTATGCACGCTTAAATGCATTTGATTTGCCTTGTGTGTCTTTATTTTTAGGGATTCATTACACATAGAAGTCCTGTACAGATTGGGAACTATCATATCTGTGTCACTCAACAGTGAAGTTACGGAAGGGGGGGCAATGAGTGGGGACGTACAGGTCTCTGTGGGGCTGTGGAGGACAGGCTCCTGTCATTGACAACCAGATTGGGGCTCTTATTTTAGAGGACCTTGCATTTCCTCTCCGTCACAATAATGCCTTATGTGCAGCACTTCCTGTTTCTCAGGCCTGGGAGGAAGGAACAGGGCGCTTGTCACACAGTAGTCACCGCTTCCTCCCTCCCTCCCCCTCCAACCCTGCTCCCAAACTTCAGACAGTGTTGTGTCCTTCAGAGGGGAAAGATGACTGCTCCTTCAGCATCACAGCAGGATGCTGCCGAGCTATATTTAGACTCAAGTCGGAAAGGTAGCACACAGACATAAACACAAACTTTAGGATGTCCAGCTGTGTTGATTTAGCATCTGAAAATGGAGGTTCAACTGTGTAAGGCCAATTATTGTTTTGACTGAGCAGTGGGACTCGGGAGGCCTGCTGTTTGCTTAAGGTGTAATTTAAATAGGTCACCCGTAAACAATGATTATCACCTTTAAAATATTACACACGTTTTCCTATGGACCGTTTTGAACTACACACCAAACTACAGATATTTAGCTCAATCCGGGGTGTTATTTCTGCACGATTATTCAACCACGTGGTATCAATAGGCAGCGAAACCTCCTGGACACGTGCCAAACTGCATTATTGATCCTCTAGGCTTATGGCGCCCTTCTGATAGCACCCAAAACAAAGGTATTGTGTCCCCCTACCACACCGCCTTATTTACTTTCCGCCATGTTACTGTCATACTGCCGGGGCTCCAGTTACCAACAACACCAAAGCGACAAGGTATTCAGAACAGGCCTATGCTCCTAGGCAACCATCCCGCCTCTTGATGAGTGTTAGGCTACGGATTGTTCATAATTAATAGGATTTTGTTAATTATTAAGAACAGAGGGATAATTTACCAAAACCACTCCCTTTAAATGGCACTGTGTTAGAATTGTCATGTCGTTAGCTGGTTTGCACTCCTAAGCACATCATTAAAATTCATCGTTGAGTTTGCTGCCTAAGTGCACACTCAGATCACGGTGCATTTCTCTGTTAATGCTGAATGCGGGGGAAAGCTGAACGCAGTGTTTGGGCCACTGGACTGTCAGTAATCAGATTGTTTGTGTGCTTTTTAAATTTGTTCTGAAGATTGAGTCCTGCCATGTAGACATTTCTCAGCTTGTTACCAGGCTTATTGCATCAGGGAGTTGCTTTAACCTTAGGTGGCAGTCTTGGCCAGAAGCAACTTATTTGATTGGCTTGTTGAAAGAACTTGATCTATTGGTTTTACTTGAGTAATGCGGTACAAAGAGGCAGATTGATAGGCAGTATTCAGCAGTTCACCACTGTGGCACAACAAATTAGACACATGTCAACAAAATAATCTCAATTTCATTATTCATGTAACCACATGTAATCCCTTTGTATTCATGAGCTGGGGGGAGGAGATATAATCAGATATCAGGTTCCACTATGACACTGAACTATATCCCTGCAGCCAATCTTCCATCTGTTAGGAAAAACCTATTGTTGAATCCCGCTCAGCCCCCACCACCACCACCACTACCACTACCACTTCTCCCTCCCTCTTTCTCTCACATTACAAAATGACCCTCTTTTGCTCTCCCCTGGTCATATTCAACGGGAGAATGAATATTTAACGTGAGAAAGGCTGACCTATCCAGATGGCCTCTCAAGTACAGCAAAAATGAGAACAAAACACAGCATCAATATTTCAGCCAGCCTTACTAAAGGTATGTATGTATCCCTGCAGTCAGGAAACCCAACTTCAGGAAGACCCGTCGATATGCGCACGTTGATTCAAACACCTGCATGCACAGACGCAGGCACACAATATGCGTCTTTATGAACTGCTGCGCCATGTTTACTCAGGCAGCATGGCGCATTGGGACCTTTAGGGCCTCTCCAAAGGAACCAGCCATATTGTGACCTTCAGCTGGGACAGACGAGCTCAGATAGAGGATGAGTGACAGATGAGGGTGCAGATGAGAATGTGTTTGATGAAGAGAGAGTGGGCCTTAGGAATGTCAGTCCTCAGCTGGTCTGACTGTGCGTGCATAAGCGCACTAATGAACACTTTTAGTCACGCTAGCAGCTCGGCTCTCAAATGGCAATGTTCTAGGCTGACAGATTTCTTTTTTTTTTCTTTCCATGTAATGTATGTACTGATATTCATTGTCCCATGAAGATGAATCCTAATGACTTTGGCGATTCCTTGACTTTTAGTGCCATAATTTGCCCAACACATGACATTCTCATTAGCTTTACCTCAGCTTTACTTTGTGTTTAGTGTTCATTAGTGAATGTCAGCATGCTAGTGTCAGTCAGTGTGAGCGTGTAAGCGTTAAGCTCAAAGCACTGCTGTTAGTACAGCCACACAGCTGCTAGCATGGCTGTAAACTCTGTAAAGTCTTGATAATACATGTTTGAGAGAGTGTGTACAAAAAGAGATGTAGTGTAGCGTAGGGTTTTCACGTCCGTAAATACAAAAAGGTAACCGCGAGAGATGCCATTCAAACCTGGACAGGATAGGCACAAGCATAAGGGCCGAAACCTATTCTGAAACTGTACCATGACAGTCTCAGTCATTCTCTCTCCTGTTTTTGTGTAATATACAGTAATACAGTAACAAAAGGTCCGATGCTGAATTCAAAGCCATTCATGTTGCAGGCCACCAGAATACTGTAATCCACCCACTCTGCAGAAGAAAAGTTTGTCTATTCAACCATAAGCTTAGCTTAGGGGGGAGAGGCCTGGGACACAGCAGGATTCAACCACAGAAAGCCTTCATCACATCAGAAGAGCAGCTGAACGCTTCTGAGCATTTTGGCCATCACTTAACCAACCGCAGAGTCACTGGCCTGGCCGCAGTCCCCGGGGCTCAGTGGCTGCACTCTCACTCACAGGAGATAATGACAAAACGAGCGGGATGTTAACAATTTGTCCAGTGAACATGGACATGTGTCAATGGCAGGCATGCAAATTAATGATGCAAGCCCCCCCATCAAGGTTGTAATGTTCAGAAATAATGCTTTTTTTATTTTGATAAACTAAGGCTATTAAATTGTTATAAAAAAATGTCCCTGTAGCAGTGATTATTCGGGCTGCAACAACATCAAGCAAAATCTGCGCTCCAGGTTTTTTTGCATTGTTGGCTTTGATAGATTTTCAGGCTTTGCTTGATTGAGAAAGGCCACTGTTGGTCAAAGGAAAAAAGGTGTTTATTCACCAGAAATTCTGCTAATTAGTTATTAGAATATTGGCAACCCCCTCAGCTACAAATGTCTTTGATTAAAAAGATGGGAGATTAGCTTTTGGCAAGTTTGTCATAATTAAAGCTTGTATTGTGTAAGGTGTGTGTGTGTGCACGCGCAGATGAGGGGGTAGTTGTAGCCACAGGGACGGCCTGGAAGACGAAGGGGTGGAGGGGGCTCCCTGTGGCTGGCTGAATTAGTGCCCGCTGGTTTGGCCTGGCAGCTGCTCTCTGAGCCTGGCACGCCGACAGCCTGGCACTGTGGTGAGGTGTTGTCAGGGCCAACCAGCAGACTGTTAGGGAAGAGGTAACGCCAGGCTCACCAAACACAAACTCTTTCACCATAACAGGCTTTGTCTTCCCTCCAGCTTGCCATACTTGCGTTACTATGCCCTACTACTATTATGGCAATATCATTGGATTAGTATGAGATTAAATTGGGTAATTAAAAAGGGCAAATTACAACCTTGTC